GTTGGAGCTGCTGCTGGTGCTGAGGACCCGGGAGTTGGAGCTGCTGCTGTTGCTGAGGACCCTGGTGCTGGTGTCTCTGCTAGTTCTGGAGTCGCTGCCCGACACCGGCCGTACTTCGTTCCGCTCCTTCAGCAGGTTCTTGGTCTCCCGCCTTCTCCCGGTCCTCCTCCTCCCTTCGAGTGTCCCCAGCCTGTCCAGTCACAGTTACAGTTACAGCCCGCCTCCCCACTGCCTGCTCCTTCTCCCTACACTGGTCCTACTGGAGGTCTTGCTGAGCGTCGTGAGCCTGCGTCTCGCCCTGCGTCGCCTGTCCGTGCTGCTCGCACTAGTAGTCACAGTTCGCGTCAGCGTCCTCCTCCTGTCCCTGGCACGCACCGGATGTCTCTCCGTCCGTCCACTGCTCCTCTGCGTGCCCCTTTGCCTTCTCCTCCTGAGTCCTCTCTTCCTGCTCTTCCTGACCCGGAGTCGGACTCTCTTCGTGCTGCCAGTCCTACTGTCACGCGTCTCCTTGCTACTGTTGTCACTGACCCTTCCTTTGAGTCCACTGCTGCGTCTGCCCTAGTTACTGAGCTCGTCGACTTTGCTGCTCGCTGTCGTCTAGACTACGCTGCTAGGTTTGTTGCTGAGTCTGAGTCTGTCTGTCCTCCGTCCGTCGGGGGTGAGTGTGCCCTTGGCACGGACGTCCTTGAGGACAGGCAGGAGGAGTTCCAGTGTTTGGCTGCTGCTTCACCTCATCTCGTGTCCGTACTGCTTACCCCTGAGGGAGACCCGGATGCACTTGACATCCCCACTCCGCGCTCTTACGCGGAGGCGATAGAGGGTCCCTACTCTTCTCAGTGGCAGGCAGCTATGGATGCAGAGATGGCTTCCTGGAAGTCCACAGGCACCTACGTTGACGCTGTCCCCCCTCCTGGGGCGAACATCGTCAGTGGCATGTGGATTTTCAGGGTGAAGCGGCCACCGGGTTCTCCGCCTGTCTTCAAGGCGCGTTACGTGGCTCGTGGCTTCAGTCAGCGGCAGGGAGTTGACTACTTTCAGACCTTCTCTCCCACCCCGAAGATGACCACTCTTCGGGTACTGCTGCACGTAGCTGCTCACCGTGACTACGAGCTACACTCTCTTGACTTCAGCACTGCTTTCCTGCAGGGCAGCCTGCACGAGGAGATCTGGCTGCGCCGCCCACTTGGCTTCACTGGGACTTTTCCTCCTGGCACCCAGTGGAGCCTCCGGCGGCCAGTCTACGGTCTCCGCCAGGCACCGCGTGAGTGGCACGACACACTGAGGACTACGCTTGCGGCTCTTGGGTTTGCTCCCTCTACTGCCGACCCGTCGCTGTTTCTACGCACCGACACTTCTCTGCCGCCGTTCTACATCCTCGTGTACGTCGACGACTTGGTCTTTGCCACAGCTGACACTGCTGGACTCGCCTACGTGAAGTCCGAGCTGCAGAAGAGACACTCGTGCACAGACCTGGGTGAACTGCGCAGCTACCTTGGCTTGCAGATCACCCGGGACAGAGCACGCCGCACCATCACCCTGACTCAGTCACACATGGTGCAGCAGGTCCTTCAGCGCTTCGGCTTCACGTACTCCTCGCCTCAGGCCACTCCTCTGCCTACTCGCCACTCGCTCTCAGCTCTGCCTTCGGATGAGTCCGTAGAGTCGAGTGGCCCGTACCCAGAGCTTGTTGGCTGCCTCATGTACCTGATGACCTGCACGCGACCTGACCTTGCATACCCTCTTAGCATTCTCGCACGCTATGTTGCTCCTGGGAGACACCAACCAGAGCACATGGCTGCAGCGAAGAGGGTGTTGCACTACTTGTGCAGTACGTCGGGCATGGGGCTAGTGCTTGGAGGGCGGAGTCCAGTGGTCCTCACTGGTCACGCAGACGCTTCTTGGGCTGACGACCAGGCTACGCAGCGGTCGTCACAGGGTTACACCTTCAGCCTTGGTTCCGGCTCTGTTTCGTGGCGGGCTACTCGCTCGTCTTCTGTTCTCGGCTCCAGTTGTGAGGCTGAGATCTACGCAGGGGCCATGGCTGCTCAGGAGCTTCGCTGGCTTACCTACCTGCTGACCGACCTTGGAGAGCCGCCTCGTTCTCCTCCAGTCCTGTACGTAGACAACAAGGCCATGCTGGCCTTGTGTCGAGAGCAGAGACTGGAGCACAGAACAAAGCACATTGCTCTCCGCTACTTCCTTGCTCGTGAGCTACAGCAGCGTGGTCAGTTGCGGCTTACGTACGTGGCCTCTGAGGCCAACACTGCTGATGTCTTCACCAAGGCACTTGCGCCTTGTGATCATCAGCGCTTCTGTACCCAGCTGGGTCTTGTGCCTGTCTTTTCTCACTTGCTCACCTCTTGACCTTGGTTGTACTGTTACATATATATGTACCTGCTCTTGCTTGTCTAGCCTTATATATATATGTACTCCTGCATGTGAACTGGCCTTGTGGCCTTGAACTTGTGCTCGGAATGTGTGGTGACTTTGTGATCCACCCTGAGCTTGCTTTGCCTTGCTTTACTTGACTGGTCTTGTGACCCCTAGTTCTCCCCCACTTCGCCTATGGGGGTGTGTCAAACATTATATATGTTGTGCTTGTTTAGGCTACAGTGGGTTAGTCTATAGGGGGTACACAATTCTAGGGTTAGGTACTTGTACTCTTTTCACTGTTAGTTTCATCATTCCTGTTTGTTCATCTCAACAATCCATTCTTCACAGGAGGAAATTCGCAGCAGTTCGCAGCAGCAAAGGGAGTCTATTACGTAAAAACCGGGACTGACCGCATTTGGGTGCCTGGGTATACACTGCTACGGGAATTACTGTTACAGGAGGCACACGACGGAGTTACCTCGGGGCATTTCGGAGTAGAAAAAACACGGCAGCAGCTGCAGCGGTATTATTACTGGCCCGAAATGTTGACTGACGTACAGCGACACGTGGCATCGTGTCCCACTTGTCAGCTCATGAAATCATCACGATAGCGGCCGGCGGGACAGTTACAGCCGATACCACCCCCAGAGCATGCTTGGCAGCAGGTGACGATGGACTTCGTCACGGGGTTACCAGCCGGGGCGAGTGGGAACGACGCGATCCTGGTCGTCGTCGATCGACTGACGAAAATGGCACATTTCGCAGCCTGCAAAAAAACAATCACAGCCGAAGAAACAGCACGCCTCTTCATCTCCACCGTCGTTCGACTGCACGGGATACCAGCCGCGATCATCAGCGACCGCGATACGACTTCTGGCGGAACTTGTGGCAGCAGTTCGGCAGGCGACTGCAGTTCAGTTCATCATACCACCTCGAAACCGACGGACAGACAGAACGGACAAATCAGACCATGGAACAGCTCATCAGGGCCACGTGTGACGACCCGACCACGTGGGAACAGCAACTGCCACTAATCGAATTCGCGTACAACAACTCGCCATCCGCCACGACCCAACAGTCACCATTTTACCTAAACTACGGACAAGACCCGACAGTACCCATGACCCCGAATCCCGACAACCCAGTACCACGAGCACAACAGTTCGCCGAAATATTACAAGCAGCACGGACCCGGGCAGTAGACGCAATAAAAAAATCAAACATCATCGCTAAACGCAACGCCGACCGCTACCGCAGACCTGTCACTTACCAGTCCGACGACTTAGTTTTACTTGACACTCAGAACCTCCGACTGCCCATCACCCCGAAACTCCGCCCCCGATACTGCGGGCCATTCCCCATAAGCCACATGCTTACACCCGTCACTGCCCACCTCCTCCTCCCTGCTGAGTGGTACGTCAGCCCCGCATTCCACGTCAGCCTACTTCGCCCTTACGTCCCGTCCACGAGCCACCTACCACGCAATCGCCCAGCCAGCATGACAAGACCACCAACTGAACCAATCATCACCCCCGAAAAAATCCTGAGTCACAGAGTTCGCGACCCTCGAGGAGCCCGAAGGATCGAGTTCTTACTCTGCTGGAAGGACCGTACACCCACCGAAGAGAATTGGGTTCCCCTGGACAGAATCGAAAACCACCCCGTCCTCACTGAGTATCTGCGCAGCCGAAATTTCAGGGATGTACACGTACTTTCGTAAGGAGGACCTCCTTAGGAGGGGGGGGGGTAGTGTAAGGAAAATTCCTTTTCCTTACTTCGCATCCCTGCTCAACGCGTACATCACTGTAGCACCACAGTCAGCACCGTTACCACTCGCCACCCTCGCATCGACAATCCGTCCGCCACCTTCGCACATCGCACCCCGACCTCACGGCTCGGCGGGTAACCCGCGCTCCGGGCCTCCGCTTCGACACTTTTTCCCAACCTCAGTCCCAGGCCCGTCGCGCGACAACCACAGTCCATTACCGTTACCACTGTAGTTTCGCTATATATTCTTCGCTCATGCCTTCGCTCATTGTACCCTTGCTTCGATAGTGCAATTCTCGTTCGTTCACTCAATTGCACTCGTAACACCTTCCAAGTCAACAGCAGTCATTGTAACATTGCATGCGCAAATTCAATTCAAACATTGCATCGACTTTTATCGCGCCAAAGCATCAGCGCAATCATGCGAAGCGACCAGCCATTACGAAAGGCGAGATCCATCCTCCTCGTCTCCAGCTTGGCGAAATCCTTCAATGTCAGTTCTGGGAAATCGTCAAATTCGCACACCAATGGCTCTCACTTTCCATGTTGAGATCTTGCCACGCCCGCTCCGCCATTCCAATATCGCCCCTTTCGCTTCGCCCATCTGTCTCTCCCATTCCTTTCTCTTCCATTCCTCCCTTTCCTTCTCAGCCTTCTGCCACTAACGCAAATCGCCGCATCCCTCATCTGCCATGCGATAGTGTTGCTACCACTCCCGCTGGTATATAACACGACAAGACAACCCCTATCAACCCTACCCCATAATCTTGCGTGTATGACATCTCCAAATTCGTGTTGGTTTCCATTACCAAGCTCGTTTGGCGCAGCCATTCTCAGCACCATAATTGATGTCTAGCAGAATGAGTGAGGAGATCCCCTTAACGAGTACGCCCTCCGAGACAGAAGGCCCGTGCTCCCCTCCCGCTCTCTTCAAAAACGCGCGGCCCGCGGAACGCGTATCCACTAGCTCATCGACAAGTGGCGGCTGGAACAAGCTCGACGAATCGTCCGCCATTTTCAATTTCCACGAGCGGCCCGTGCGCGACGCGGGATGGCGATTTCTCCTCGTCGTGCCGCTCGTCGTGCTCGTCGGCCCGGGATTCTACGCCTTCACCTCCTCTCTCTCCGACCCCCTCAGCCTCCCGTTTTATCTTTTTGGAATTCTGATTGCGCTTCCCCTCCTCTTCGCCTGCAGCATCCCCGTCCGCATGTTGCTCGTCTCGTGGCTCAAACTCCCCGCTCTCGCCTTCAAGGTGCTCCTACTCCTCGCCGCCTTGATTTTCGCCGTGATCAGCACTATCGTCGTAGCAGTTTTCCTCTCGTTGCCCGCGCCGCTACATGCGGAGGAACGACTCCCGTCGTATCATGCGCCGTTTTCCGAGGAACCCACTGGCGCGTATTCTCCAAAATACAAGTGCGCATTCACTGGCTGCTCTGTGGGCGCGGACGTTGCGGAAAGCGCGGAGGAGGGGAGCGAGGAGACGAACGAAGGCAGTGGCGGGATAATTGCGGGGGAACTGGGAGAGGAAGAGGGGGGGGTTGACATGATGAATGAGTGGATGGAAGGGGGCACAGTGGGGGAGATGGAAGGGGAAGCGGAAGGTGATGCGGAGGGGGGTTTGGAAGGGGGGCAAGGGTGTATGGTTTGGCGCACGGGTGTGGATGGGGGTACGGAGTGGGGAATGGCGGATTGTGTGAAAGGAGGTTCTATGGAAGGGGAAACGGGGGCAGCAATAGAAGGGGGCACAGAAGGGGGCATGGACGGAGGCACGGAAGAGGGTATGAACGCCGCAGCGAAGGCTGACAGCAGCAACAGCAGCGCACCTTGCAGCACAAGCAGCACGCATGGCAGCAACAGCAGCAGCGCTGCGGCCACGAGCGACCTCGGCAGGGGCCTACTCGAGCTCACAGTACCCACTGTCTCACACAGCGCGGTGACCGTTACTGCACAGCACGCCGCCATCCACCCCACCATCCACTCCTCCATCCGCCGTCTGTTGCAAGGCCCGGCAACGTTAGACGCAGGGAAAAGTGTGCGCGGATGGTCCTTGCAAGATCAGCTGAGATCGGTGCTCCAGCTGGAACAGGTTTCAGGCGTTTATCTTCTCTACTTCATTCCGGTCGTTTTCTTTGCGATTCTCAGTGCCGCCTCGCTGCTCCTTGCGCTGTGCTGCGGTGACCACCTGCCGCTCACTGCCGCTGTCATTGCCCACACCTCCCACGTGACCACCGCAAAGGCCCCTGTCGTCTTCCGAATGCCACTCCCGTTTATGCTTGCAGCTTCCTTTCTGGGTCCGCCTTTGATATATTGCGTTCATGCTGATGACACGGACCCCCTCTCTGCCCTCCTGCTCCTCTCCTTTCTTTTCATTTCCCAACTACTACTAGCTCTCCTCAACTACTCCACAGCAGCAATTTACGCACGGCTGTACGTCACGAGCAATGGCACGAACAGCAGCAGCAGCAGCAGCAAGAGCGGGCAGGGGTATGAAGGGAGACAGGGAGCACCGAAAGGCCAGCGAGAGCTCTTCCAATCTGCGCTCGCCCTTGCTTGCACCTCTTCCCTCGGAACCTGCTGTGCCGTTGCCTTCACCAACTTCACCATCACCATTGTCCTACATATTCTCTCTGCCCTCTCCCTGGCCCACTTTGGTACGAACAGCCTAGTCTGGCTGCTTGTGGCGCTGCTTCTCTGCGCACACATTGCCATCCACTTCTTCCTCTACTGCCTCGTCCTCCCCACCAGTGCCATGAGCGGCCATGGCTTCACCCGCTCTCTGCGCCTCTCTTTCAACATCCTGTGGCGCTTCTTCGCGCCCATTGTCATGGCCAATGCTGCTGGACTCCTCCTGAATGTCATGCTGATAATTCCCATGTATTTCATATATGCAATAGCCGGGCTAATTATGGTGAGTGCACGCAGTATACGTTGTGAAGCATCGTGGATGTTGATTCTCATCGCAAAAGCACATTCGCACCTTCCATGTTCAAGGTGTGTTCTCACTTGGATCCCCCTCCCCCTTCCCACCCATTGTCACTACTCACTTGCAGGTCTTTGCCACGATGCTAACAGGAGATGGCTTGATGGTGCTAGCTGGTTTTATCTTGATAAGCATGGTAATTGCCGTGGTTTCTCTTCTCTCCACCATAGCGCTCTCCTCTGTCCTCACCACAGGGGTCACCACTACAGTTCTGTGTTTTGCCTGGGATAAAAGACTTGAGCCAGAGGAGGGCTCTGATGCTGCTGGCCTGGTTGCTGGTGGTTCCCTATCCTTTGCTGATGTGAAGGATATTAGCGCAGTGTAGCATAATGCACCTTTAAAGGTGTGTTGTGCGTGCGTGCGTGTGTGTGTGTGTGTGGGGGGGGGGGGGGAGGGGGGGGGGGGGTAGGTACCACACATTACAATAAAATTTTTGATTTCATTACCACGAGATGCTAAAAAGAGAAACCTTTGCAACGAATATACTAATGATACACCTGCAATCATTTGGCGGCAGAGAGCAGGTCGCTGATTTGGGATGTGTAGAAGTCGGGGCGGATAGTGTTGTCGGGGCTGTTGAGAGTTTCCAGAGTTGTGACTCCTGGGGCAGGGAGACGGGCATTACAAGGAAGAGAGAACACAAGTTGAGGTGGGATGCAGGCGCAGAACAAGAAGGAATGCATGGGATCTGGATGGAAAATTTAAGGTGATACTTCACACTATGAAACAATGGGCATGAGCGCACCAGCAAATTACGTACCTTTGGCATAAAGCACACCAAAGAGCGCAGGGATCACACACCTGAGAGCACGAGCAGCGTGCAACAGTCTCACCTGAGAGCACGAGCAGCGTGCGGCAGTCTCACCTGAGAGCACGAGCAGCGTGCAACAGTCTCACCTGAGAGCACGAGCAGCGTGCAACAGTCTCACCTGAGAGCACCAGCAGCGTGCAACAGTCTCACCTGAGAGCACGAGCAGCGTGCAACAGTCTCACCTGAGAGCACGAGCAGCGTGCAACAGTCTCACCTGAGAGCACCAGCAGCGTGCAACAGCCTCACCTGAGAGCACCAGCAGCGTGCGGCAGTCTCACCTGAGAGCACGAGCAGCGTGCAACAGTCTCACCTGAGAGCACGAGCAGCGTGCAACAGTCTCACCTGAGAGCACGAGCAGCGTGCAACAGTCTCACCTGAGAGCACGAGCAGCGTGCAACAGTCTCACCTGAGAGCACGAGCAGCGTGCAACAGTCTCACCTGAGAGCACGAGCAGCGTGCAACAGTCTCACCTGAGAGCACGAGCAGCGTGCAACAGTCTCACCTGAGAGCACCAGCAGCGTGCAACAGTCTCACCTGAGAGCACCAGCAGCGTGCAACAGTCTCACCTGAGAGCACCAGCAGCGTGCAACAGTCTCACCTGAGAGCACGAGCAGCGTGCAACAGTCTCACCTGAGAGCACGAGCAGCGTGCGGCAGTCTCACCTGAGAGCACCAGCAGCGTGCGGCAGTCTCACCTGAGAGCACGAGCAGCGTGCAACAGTCTCACCTGAGAGCACGAGCAGCGTGCAACAGTCTCACCTGAGAGCACGAGCAGCGTGCAACAGTCTCACCTGAGAGCACGAGCAGCGTGCAACAGTCTCACCTGAGAGCACCAGCAGCGTGCAACAGTCTCACCTGAGAGCACCAGCAGCGTGCAACAGTCTCACCTGAGAGCACCAGCAGCGTGCAACAGTCTCACCTGAGAGCACGAGCAGCGTGCAACAGTCTCACCTGAGAGCACGAGCAGCGTGCGGCAGTCTCACCTGAGAGCACGAGCAGCGTGCAACAGTCTCACCTGAGAGCACGAGCAGCGTGCAACAGTCTCACCTGAGAGCACGAGCAGCGTGCAACAGTCTCACCTGAGAGCACGAGCAGCGTGCAACAGTCTCACCTGAGAGCACCAGCAGCGTGCAACAGTCTCACCTGAGAGCACGAGCAGCGTGCAACAGTCTCACCTGAGAGCACGAGCAGCGTGCAACAGTCTCACCTGAGAGCACCAGCAGCGTGCAACAGTCTCACCTGAGAGCACGAGCAGCGTGCAACAGTCTCACCTGAGAGCACGAGCAGCGTGCAACAGTCTCACCTGAGAGCACGAGCAGCGTGCAACAGTCTCACCTGAGAGCACGAGCAGCGTGCAACAGTCTCACCTGAGAGCACCAGCAGCGTGCAACAGTCTCACCTGAGAGCACCAGCAGCGTGCAACAGTCTCACCTGAGAGCACGAGCAGCGTGCAACAGTCTCACCTGAGAGCACGAGCAGCGTGCGGCAGTCTCACCTGAGAGCACGAGCAGCGTGCAACAGTCTCACCTGAGAGCACCAGAAGCGTGCAACAGTCTCACCTGAGAGCACGAGCAGCGTGCAACAGTCTCACCTGAGAGCACGAGCAGCGTGCAACAGTCTCACCTGAGAGCACGAGCAGCGTGCAACAGTCTCACCTGAGAGCACGAGCAGCGTGCAACAGTCTCACCTGAGAGCACGAGCAGCGTGCAACAGTCTCACCTGAGAGCACGAGCAGCGTGCAACAGTCTCACCTGAGAGCACGAGCAGCGTGCAACAGTCTCACCTGAGAGCACGAGCAGCGTGCAACAGTCTCACCTGAGAGCACCAGCAGCGTGCAACAGTCTCACCTGAGAGCACGAGCAGCGTGCAACAGTCTCACCTGAGAGCACCAGCAGCGTGCAACAGTCTCACCTGAGAGCACGAGCAGCGTGCAACAGTCTCACCTGAGAGCACGAGCAGCGTGCAACAGTCTCACCTGAGAGCACCAGCAGCGTGCAACAGTCTCACCTGAGAGCACGAGCAGCGTGCAACAGTCTCACCTGAGAGCACGAGCAGCGTGCAACAGTCTCACCTGAGAGCACGCGCAGCGTGCAACAGTCTCACCTGAGAGCACGAGCAGCGTGCAACAGTCTCACCTGAGAGCACGAGCAGCGTGCAACAGTCTCACCTGAGAGCACCAGCAGCGTGCAACAGTCTCACCTGAGAGCACGAGCAGCGTGCAACAGTCTCACCTGAGAGCACGAGCAGCGTGCAACAGTCTCACCTGAGAGCACGAGCAGCGTGCAACAGTCTCACCTGAGAGCACCAGCAGCGTGCAACAGTCTCACCTGAGAGCACGAGCAGCGTGCAACAGTCTCACCTGAGAGCACGAGCAGCGTGCAACAGTCTCACCTGAGAGCACGAGCAGCGTGCAACAGTCTCACCTGAGAGCACGAGCAGCGTGCAACAGTCTCACCTGAGAGCACGAGCAGCGTGCAACAGTCTCACCTGAGAGCACGAGCAGCGTGCAACAGTCTCACCTGAGAGCACGAGCAGCGTGCAACAGTCTCACCTGAGAGCACGAGCAGCGTGCAACAGTCTCACCTGAGAGCACGAGCAGCGTGCAACAGTCTCACCTGAGAGCACGAGCAGCGTGCAACAGTCTCACCTGAGAGCACGAGCAGCGTGCAACAGTCTCACCTGAGAGCACGAGCAGCGTGCAACAGTCTCACCTGAGAGCACGAGCAGCGTGCAACAGTCTCACCTGAGAGCACGAGCAGCGTGCAACAGTCTCACCTGAGAGCACCAGCAGCGTGCAACAGTCTCACCTGAGAGCACCAGCAGCGTGCAACAGTCTCACCTGAGAGCACCAGCAGCGTGCAACAGTCTCACCTGAGAGCACGAGCAGCGTGCAACAGTCTCACCTGAGAGCACGAGCAGCGTGCAACAGTCTCACCTGAGAGCACGAGCAGCGTGCAACAGTCTCACCTGAGAGCACGAGCAGCGTGCAACAGTCTCACCTGAGAGCACCAGCAGCGTGCAACAGTCTCACCTGAGAGCACGAGCAGCGTGCAACAGTCTCACCTGAGAGCACGAGCAGCGTGCAACAGTCTCACCTGAGAGCACGAGCAGCGTGCAACAGTCTCACCTGAGAGCACGAGCAGCGTGCGGCAGTCTCACCTGAGAGCACGAGCAGCGTGCAACAGTCTCACCTGAGAGCACGAGCAGCGTGCAACAGTCTCACCTGAGAGCACGAGCAGCGTGCAACAGTCTCACCTGAGAGCACGAGCAGCGTGCAACAGTCTCACCTGAGAGCACGAGCAGCGTGCAACAGTCTCACCTGAGAGCACGAGCAGCGTGCAACAGTCTCACCTGAGAGCACGAGCAGCGTGCAACAGTCTCACCTGAGAGCACGAGCAGCGTGCAACAGTCTCACCTGAGAGCACGAGCAGCGTGCGGCAGTCTCACCTGAGAGCACGAGCAGCGTGCAACAGTCTCACCTGAGAGCACGAGCAGCGTGCAACAGTCTCACCTGAGAGCACGAGCAGCGTGCAACAGTCTCACCTGAGAGCACGAGCAGCGTGCAACAGTCTCACCTGAGAGCACGAGCAGCGTGCAACAGTCTCACCTGAGAGCACGAGCAGCGTGCAACAGTCTCACCTGAGAGCACCAGCAGCGTGCAACAGTCTCACCTGAGAGCACGAGCAGCGTGCAACAGTCTCACCTGAGAGCACGAGCAGCGTGCAACAGTCTCACCTGAGAGCACGAGCAGCGTGCAACAGTCTCACCTGAGAGCACCAGCAGCGTGCAACAGTCTCACCTGAGAGCACCAGCAGCGTGCAACAGTCTCACCTGAGAGCACGAGCAGCGTGCAACAGTCTCACCTGAGAGCACGAGCAGCGTGCAACAGTCTCACCTGAGAGCACGAGCAGCGTGCAACAGTCTCACCTGAGAGCACGAGCAGCGTGCAACAGTCTCACCTGAGAGCACGAGCAGCGTGCAACAGTCTCACCTGAGAGCACGAGCAGCGTGCAACAGTCTCACCTGAGAGCACGAGCAGCGTGCAACAGTCTCACCTGAGAGCACGAGCAGCGTGCAACAGTCTCACCTGAGAGCACCAGCAGCGTGCGGCAGTCTCACCTGAGAGCACCAGCAGCGTGCGGCAGTCTCACCTGAGAGCACGAGCAGCGTGCAACAGTCTCACCTGAGAGCACCAGCAGCGTGCAACAGTCTCACCTGAGAGCACGAGCAGCGTGCAACAGTCTCACCTGAGAGCACGAGCAGCGTGCAACAGTCTCACCTGAGAGCACGAGCAGCGTGCAACAGTCTCACCTGAGAGCACGAGCAGCGTGCAACAGTCTCACCTGAGAGCATGAGCAGCGTGCGGCAGTCTCACCTGAGAGCACGAGCAGCGTGCAACAGTCTCACCTGAGAGCACGAGCAGCGTGCAACAGTCTCACCTGAGAGCACGAGCAGCGTGCAACAGTCTCACCTGAGAGCACGAGCAGCGTGCAACAGTCTCACCTGAGAGCACGA